TACTCGCCAATTGACCATCAGCTTTATTAACTATTACGAGATCGGCTATTTCCACTATTCCTTTTTTGAGTCCCTTTTATTATATTTAATCATAATAGATTTTTAAAATATTTTTTTTATAATAGAACTTCAATCGGAAAAGTTAATAAAACCTGAATTTCATCACCACCCGCTGGCGGAACCATCAACACGAACATATCAACCATTTCTGATACCATTATCTCTGATTGTCCGACGCCAACTGTCTCAACTAGAGTCACGTCGTATCCAGCGGCTAATCAACCATAAATAATACATAGTTTTATCAATATGTGAAAATGACGATAACTTAAGGATAATTAAATAATACCTTCACACAAGATAATGGCTTCACTCGTATTTCTGGCTACCTATAGTTCAATTTATCTATCATAAAACAATGCCTCAGGCGAGTTGGATAGGAAAGCTACACTAAAAGATCAGAGAGCGAGAGGTTGAATAGAAGCCCTCAAATGGCAATACTTACACCTCCTGCCATCATTACAATACACAAATGGTTAATCAGTTATATAACTTCAAAAATTTTAAAATTGATGAGTGATAATGATAGAGAAATTGAGATTTTTTATGTATTATATACCAAGTGTTCCACGACTAGGTGAAGGTCGAACATACGCATTTTCTTGATGAGAAAGTTGCGGCATCCTTGTTTTATCACCCATTATAGAACCACCAGTTCGTGTTGAAGACGGATCAACAGCCTAATACAAATTCTTTTAGAATTTCTATATCACAAGACAAACAACGTCAAATAAAAAAAATATTGACACATACAAGCACGGCAACACGATGCCCTTGCGAAAGCACGTGCATACCAAACGTTTCAATAAAAGTAGATTTACCAACGCCTGGCGGTCCAGAAAGTCCAATCCGATACGTAATTTTTTTCTTGAGGTCTCCGAAAATTCCCAAGTCGGCACCCCATTTTTTGTACAAGCCCGTGGAAGGAAAGTCTTTATGCACTTTTTTGTCGAGAAGCAATGAGAGAAGTTGTTGTGCTTGTTTTTTGTGATCGGATCGTGAGGATTCGACTATTCGTATATAATAAATCAAGGATCAATTAGGATTCTATTAATCCCCACGCATGTGTGCTTAAAGCGCGCAAATTCGCATCAAATAACCTAATGTGATCGCTTTTGCCAAGTAATATCGATCTCTTTGCAATATTCCCTCATAAAGTTCCATGACTTTGGATGGAACTGAAGCATCAATAACAGTAGAGGAAGCAATGGGAGAGACAGCAGTGGTGGGCGTATGTGACGATACATTCAAATATCGTGATTCAACGATCAGAAATGAATTCGAGCCATTAAGGATGATTGGACTTTTGATGCGACAAGTCTAAATATGGTTTTCAAATCAAAAGCTTATTATAACATATTAAATAAATTTTCCAAGGAAATTAACAACAAAAAGATGCAAAACTTGCTTTAAGCGTTTTCGATAAAAACATGATTTCCACGTTTTGCTTTATAAAAATAATCAAATCTTTTAGAGAACCTCAAGAAGAGAATCCTCGAACAGAGCGTGAATTCGATCTTTTATAAGCCGCGTATTTTCTTAGATAGCTCAACCAATCGTTGAAAAAATCGTACGAGACAAAATAAATCATACGATCCAACATTTTTTGAATTTTTTGTTGCGATCATGATGATGTTATGCATACAATGAAAAATATCCGATTGGAGAAAACTATCAGATCAAAAAACGTAGATTTTTTTTGGTTCATTGTTATGGAATCACGAATAAAACGCCGGGCACAAAAACGAGAGAAACAAAAATCTCGAAACGCGTCAATCGAGGAACAAGAATGGCGTAAAATTTCGTTGGTTACGCCGCCTTTACCAAGTTCTTTTATTTCTGAAAAAACCATAAAGGGACTCAAAAAAGGAATAGTGGAAATAGCCGATCTCGTAATAGTTAATAAAGCTGATGGTCAATTGGCGAGTA